TTGCCTCCCAAGTTAAGGTGGACTAGATTTTCCTTTTATGGTATTTCTTCCCATGAGCCTCTGGAAAAACTTACAAGGTAACAGGAAGTCTAAGTCACAATGCAAATGAGATTACAATGAAGCCAGAGTCTTTGGAGGATGCAGACCCACCATTAGTGGGCATGTGTGGCAAATGGGAGATACCTCAGTATGTTAGTTCTGGAAGTAAGCAACAACATAATTGTCAAGGATGTTTAACCACCAAGGGATTATTCTGACTATCAGGAAATAGAGCTTCCAAGAAGCAACTGTAGTTTGTTTTTCTTGGTCCCCTCATGTCTAATTCCTTGCTTGACCAGGAGGCATCACTACTACCACACAGCTACAGCTTTTCTTGGGTTACCTCATACCTAACTCCTTGCCTAGTATGCCTAAGATAGCCAACTGTATTTCGTTTGAGATTCATGAACGGGGCAATTTCTAATCTGTAGCTGAAGTTTTCTCTGGTCCTGCCCAGCACCATGAGCCCCACAGCCACTTATAAAATAATCACTCAGAAACTCATATTAATTAAAACTGCTTGGCCATTAGCTTAGGCTAACTACTGACTAGCTCTTACATTTAAACTCGGCCCATTTCTGTTAAACTATGTGTTGCCACGTGTTCCATGGCTTTACCTGTGTGCCATCACATGCTGTTTCCTGGACAGCGGGCTGGTGTCTCCTGACTCAGCCTTCTTCCCAGAATTCTCCTTGTCTGTTTATCCTGCCTATAATTCCTGCCTGTCTACTGGCCAATCAGCATTTTATTTATCAACCAATCAGAGCAATACATATTCACAGCGTACAGAGTGATATCCACAGCACTGATCTACAAAACAAAATGAGAACCAACACTCGGAAGTGCCAGGACAATAGAGTTCATAAGGTGAGACAAGCCTATTAAAAAGAAACGTTGAGCCGGGCGATGGTGGCGCACGCCTTTAATCCCAGCACTCAGGAGGCAGAGCCAGGCGGATCTCTGTGAGTTTGAGGCCAGCCTGGACTACCAAGTGAGTTCCAGGAAAGGCGCAAAGCTACACAGAGAAACCCTGTCTCGAAAAACCAAAAAAAAAAAAAAAAAAAAGAAATGTTGAATGGGGTGGGGTGGTTGTCAGCACACAGCTCAGTCTGTAAAGTTCTTACCTTGCAAACGTGAGGATTTAAGCTCAAATTTCAGAACCCGTGTCACAAGAAGCCAGGTGTGAGCATGTTCCCTAGCAACCTCAGTACTAGGACATGGAGACAGGCAGGTCACAAAGGCTCACCGGTTAGTCAGCCTAGTCTCTTTAACAAGTTTCAAGTTTGACAGTGTCTCAAAAAGAAAACAAAGGTGTACAGTACAGCTAAGAGCAACACCTAAGGCACATGCACACCTGCACACACACACACACACACACACACACACACACACACACACACACACATACATGCATGCTTACACGCATATGTATGTACATACAAACATATACATAAACATTCATGTGCACGCATACACAGACACAGACATATATATGCACACGCAAACATTCGAGCCCTCACACAAACACATACACTCAAGTTAGTCAGTTAATACCAGGTGGCAGGTTACATTTAAGCATTAAAGCAGCGACCACGGACTCAGCCCGCAATCCTCAGCTTTGGGATCTGTTTCCTAAAAGTTTGAATTGAATCAAATTGAATGTAGAATTTGGCTCGAGGGATGCCATATTGGTTTGGTCTGGTCAGTTGAGGCCTAGTGCAAAACTCAGTCCAAACACTAGTCTCAAGGGTCAGCGAGATGGCTCGGGAGCTAGAGGCACTTGCCACTCAACAATGTAAGCCTAAGAGCCTGAGTTCAATCCCGTGTAGTGACCCATATAAAGAGGGAGGGGAGCCGACTCCACAAAGTTGTCCTCTGACCTCCACATGCACACCTTGATATGTGTACCCCCCCAACAAAATAATTTAAAAACTAGTTTCCCATGATTGCTTTCCTCATTAAAATTGAATATATCTAGCTATTGTCCTTGGTACTATATACATACACATGTACATATGTGATTTCATATAGTTGCTTAGTCATAACTTATGACAGATGTCTGCACTGGGATATTGAGGTTGTCTCCAAGCTTTACCATTGTAAATAAAGATACAATGCACACTTTTGTGCATAGTTTTTTGCATATGTTGGGAGTGTTTCTTATTGACTGTGATCCAAATGTGCAATTATCAGGGAATATTATATGCTCAGCAAAGGGCATTCAGGAAGACTCAAGTTGTAGTATTAACCCTGTCACGACTACTCTGTGAAACTCTAAGCAGGTTACTAAGTCTCTGAAATCCTGTTATTTCCCTTGTTTAAAAAAAGGTGGGGGGGACTATCCAAGTCTGTGAGTTTGTGAATATTAAATGACAAATGCGTCATGGTTGTTTTATGCATGTGTTTAGTGCATTTGATTTCTGTGTATATGCCCCTCATTTTGTTTCTTGTTCAGGTTTTATTTCCCTCCTCATCCTCCTCCTCCTCCTCCTCCTCCTCCTCCTCCTCCTCCTTCTCCTCCTCTTCCTTCTCCTCTGGGGTCGCCAGGGATCAAAGGACCTGCCCAACACATGCATAGCAAGGGCAAACACTACCACTGAGTCATAGCCACCTCCCATTAGCTTTAATAGGAGTATCTCCTTAGCCTCCTTGTTGTCTGCTAAATCCCATTAAATGGCAGGCAAATTTTAGTGGTTGACTGGAACTTTGAATATCTAACATGGAATTGAAATTAAATAAACCAATGTGTTATATGGAAATAAGTCTTTGGAAGGGTAGGCTCAGGATCTCACTTTTGATTATCCTAAGAAAAACATGGAAGTGGCTTATAATAATGCAGAATACCTGTGATCCCAGCACTGAAGAAAGGAAGGTAATGTATTGGTCAGTCTTTGTTGTTAGAATGAAACACTTGCAACAGTTAACTTATTAAACAAAATTTGGCCCAGGGATCTGGAGATTCAGTCCAAGATTGGGCAGCTCCACTGTTGGCTCTAGCAAGGCAGCGGATCATGACAGAAGTGTGTGGTGAACAAACCACTTACATCATGAGCCAGGAAGCCAAGAGAAAGAAGATAGGCCAGGGGACATTCTGCAATGAGCTAAGAGCCTGCTCTAAGGCCCCACTTCCTAAAGGCTTTACCACTGTCTAGTGGTGCCACCCTGATGACCAAAACTTTAACATATAGAGCATATTCCACAGACAAATTACACCAAATCCACAGAAACTGTCTGCTCTAGGCTCTTATAAAGGCTACAGGCAGAAAAGTCTACACATTCATGTTAATCAAAGCAATCAAGAAATACCCCCCAATTGCTTAAGGTGCTTCCATGACTAATATTGTTACGAAAATCTCAGATCTGGAATTCTTGCTTTACTGCTGAACAGTTCTGTGTGCAAGTGATAAGCCCCTAGCTTCTTATAGAATAGAAATAAAAATATTTTAAAGGTTAAAATGTGAGGTATTGTATACAAGAAATTCAAAAGAGACCCTTGAAAAATGTGATATTCAACAGCTGTAACCAAGATAAATGGAACGAAAGCTATTCCCATGAAAATAAAATTTCAGAGAAGGAATAGCTCTGAGGTCTTGACCTAAAAATTGCTACTTCTCTGGACCTCCACTTTCCTCTCTTGCAAAGTGCAGAGATTAAATTAGAGCTTTAAAGACCCTGCTACTCAAGGGACAACAATAATTAATGACATTTACATGTAGAAAATGCTCATGTGAGCCGGTTGGGCAGTGGTGGCACACACCTTTAATCTCAGCATTTGGAAGGCAGAGGCAGGTGGATCTCTGTGAGTTTGAGGTCAGCCTAGTCTAGAATGAGTTCCAGGATAGCTAAGGATACAGAGAAACCTTGTCTCAAAAAAACAAAATAATAGTAATAAAATAATAATAATAATAATAATAATAATAATAATAATAATAATAGAGGAGTGTTGTTTGTTTTTACTCTTTTTTGGGGGCCCACCACCCAGCTCCCAAATAAATTCATACACGGAGGCCCAGTATTAACTTATGAATGCCCGGCCTTAGCTTGGCTTAATTTCTAGCCAGCTTTTCTTAATTTTAAATTATCCTGTCTACTTTTTGCATCAGGCTTTTCCCTTTCTATTCCTAAATACCTTTCTTTGTTTCTTCTCTGTGGCTCTCTGTGTAGCTGGGTGGCTGGCCCCTGGAGTCCTCCTCCTCCTTCTCTGGCTCCTTGATCTTAGATCTCCAGTCCCTCTTCCCAGTTTTCTCCTTCTGTTTATACTCTCTGCCTGCCAGCCCTGCCTATCCTTTCTCCTGCCTTGCTGTTGGGTAGTTCTTTATTAAACCATGAGGTGTTTTAAACAGGGACAGTAACACAGCGTCACAGAGTTAAACAAATGCAACATTTAAAAAAAAGTAACACACCTTAAAATAGTGTTCTCCTACGGAGGAGGTGCTTAAATGGCCAGGCACTGTTATTGTTGCACTTAGTGACTCTGATTGTCACAGCAAACCTGAAGCAGCCTCAGCTTTCTGCTAATATTTGAGGGAAACCTCTACTTTTAATTTTATTTTACTCTAAGGTTTTTAAAAAATAATGGTTTCTCATTGTTTTAAAAAAAACATTTATTGGGTGTGTGCGACGCACAAGCACACTTACGTTTGTGTGGGCAAGCATGTGCCATGATACAGATGTGGAGATCAGAGCTTGTGGGAGTCAGTTCTATCTTTCTACCATGTGGCCCTGGGGATTAAAATCAGGTTTCTAGCAGCTTAACCTGATGTGGTGGTTTGAATGAGAACGGCCCCCATAGGCTCATATGTTTCAATACTTGGTCCCCAGTTGGTGGAATTGTTTGGGAAGGATTAGAAGGGATGGCCTTGTCAGAGAAGGTGTGTCACGGGGGGTAGGCTTTGAGATTTCAAAAAGCCTGTGCCACTCCAGTTAACTGTCTCTGCCCATGCTTTTGTCTCAAGATGTGAGCCCTCAGCCATGGATCCAGTGCCACGCCATCCTTCTTGCTGCCATGCTCTCTGCCATGATGATTATGGACTCTAACCCCTTGAAACTGTAAGCCTACAATAAACTCTCTCTTCTATAAGTTGCCTTGGCCATGGTATATTATCACAACAATAGAAAAGTAACTAAGATAGTTTCCCTAACTCTTAAGGCATTTTTATTATTATTATTATTAAAAATCTAGAGGTCTTTTCCTTTTTGAGAAAAAAATTGAATATCAAAGAAAAGTTTGTATTAGTTATCTAATACTATTCAACCAATAACTCCCAAATGTACTGCTGTGAATATAAGCATTCCTTGTCCCATGTGAGTTCTGAGAGTTGAGGACCTCACAACAGTGGTTCTACCTTAGCATTCCTCATGAAGCTATAGTGTAATTGTCTGAAGATTAAGATGCTGTTGTCTAAAGCAATTGGAGAATCCACCCATTGAGCTTGTTCCTGCTGCTGGCATAAATTGCAAGCTCCCATCAGACAGGACTTGAAAAAAAGCAAGGTTCTTGGAGGCTGCTGTGGTGATATTGTATCCCCCAATATATTGTGCGCCCTAATAAACTTATCTGGGGTCAGAGAACAGAACAGCCACTAAATAGGCATAGAGGCCAGAAAATGGTGGCATACACACCTTTAATCCTATCACTCTGGATAGGATCCATCTGGATCTCTGTAACTTCAAGGCCACACTGGAAACAGAGCCAGGCATGGTAGCACACACTTTTAATCCCAGGACTTGAGATCTCATGTCTTGCTTGGGAAAGACACACGCCTTTAATCTCAGGAAGTGTTGGCAGGAAGCAGAAAAGTATATAAGTCGTGAGGACCAGGAACTAGAGTCTTGTTAGGCTTTTAGGCTTTTAACAGCAGTTCAGCTGAGATCCATTTGGATGAGGACTCAGAGGCTTCCAGTTTGAGGAAACAGGATCAGCTGAGGAGTTGACGAGGTGAGGTTAGCTGTGGCTTGTTCTATCTCTCTGATCTTTCAGAATTTACCCCAATAGCTGGCTCTGAGTTTTTTACTAATAAGACCATTTAAGATTCGTATTACAGGCTGCTCTCCTGGTTGAAGAACTAGAGCGAAAGAAAGCGTGAAGAAGAGAGAATGGAGAGAAAGAGCCAAGACAGAAGCTCCCCCTCCTAACCCTGTGAGTCTCTTCCAGATTATCTTTGCTAGGAGAAAGCCAAGTTCCACTACTTAAGGGGAGAATATCAGAGTATGAATGATATATCACAGCCGAACTGAGGCGGTTGGCAAGGAAAGCCTGTTACCCTAGTGTGTGCTGCACTATCCACAAGGCAGTGTTCCCCTGCCTCAGCCTCCTGAGTACTGTACTGCACTATCCACAAGCCAGTGTTCCCCTGCCTCAGCCTCCTGAGTACTGGGATTACAGGTGTGTGATACCACACCAGAGTATGTCTTTATGGCCACAAAAAGCACAAGGATGAACACAACAAACAGTTGTGTATTCACTGTCTCAAATTAGCACTTATTCCTCTATCCCATCCTTCTTAAAAACTCATTTTAAAATAGCTTACTTTTTAAATATAGTTTTTTTTTTTTTTTTGGTTTTTCGAGACAGGGTTTCTCTGTGTAGCTTTGCGCCTCTCCTGGAACTCACTTGGTAGCCCAGGCTGGCCTCGAACTCACAGAGATCCGCCTGCCTCTGCCTCCTGAGTGCTGGGATTAAAGGCGTGCGCCACCACCGCCCGGCTAAATATAGTTTTTAATTGACGTAAACTAACTTGTGTGTGTGTGTGTGTGTGTGTGTGTGTGTGATGCCATGTGGTAGTTCCATATAGATATAGATATAGATATAGATATAGATGATATAGATATAGATGATATAGATATATTTGATGTTCAAATCAAAGCAAACTTTTATTTCCTCAAATACTATTATTTCTTTGTGGTAATAACATTCAAAATTCTTTCTATGGTTTTTAAAATACACTATATTAGCTACATTATCATTATTCGTGGTCAACCCATTGTGTGATAAAGTGTCAGATCTTATTTTTCCCAGCTACCACTTAGTACTCACTGCCCAATCAAAAGACATTTTCAAAACCACACAATAGAAATAGACTCTTTGCTCACATGTTTAGTCCTACACCTTTCCTACTCACCAGAAACTACCAAAGTGTGTGATGAATCTTTCAAGTCTTTTAAAAATTCTTTCCCATATACAAGTATTCTGAAAACAGTGTGCAGTGTTTTCATAGATGTTTACTTTTTCATATATGATCTACATATCATAAAACCTACCTTTTCTACTCATTGTTGCTTCAATAATGTCCTGTATAAGCAGGTATAGTATTCAGGGTTCTCTAGAGTAACAGAACTTATAGAATGAGTCTCTTTCTATATACATGAAAAGGGGTTCATTAAAATGACTTACAGGCCGCAGTCTAGCCAATACAACAATGGCTGCCAGTGAAAGGAAAGTCCAAGAATCCAGTAGTGTTCAGTCCACAAGCCTGGATGTCTCAGTTGGTCTTTAGTAGATGCTGGAATCCCCAAGAAGTGAGCCCTAATGCCAGTGAAGGAATGGACTTGCTAGCAAGGTAAAGGCAAGTAGGCAAAGAGCAAAGGTTCCTCCTTCCATGTCCTCATACAGGCTTCCAGCAAAAGGCATGGCCCAGATTAGAGGTCCGTGTTTTCCCTCCTCAAGATACAGATTAAAGGCTTGTGTCTTCATACCTCAAAGGTCCAGATTAGCCAAAAAATCCCTCACAGGTGTGCCCTCCATTTTTGGATTTTAGTTAAATCCAGATACAGTCAAGTTGACAACCAATTATAGCCATCACAGTAGGTCACTTTTAATTCCCCTACTGCTGAAGATTGCCTCTTAAATGACAAATCAATGTTATAGACAAATCTTCAATGAACGCTTTTGATGGTGTCACCTTGGGCACATATGCATGAGTTTCTCTACAGCTGTGTTTCTCAGATAATTTGACCCTGGCCCACAGGAAGCTCTTTCTCACAGTGACTGAGATTAGTCAAAAGTCTGTTCCTGAAGCCTAAGTTTTCTGAGACAAGTAGTTATCTATCCTAATGAGTAGCCTGCGATGCTACCTATTTTTCGTCCTGTCATTTTAAGTTCTACTTTTTTTTTTTTTTTCAGAGCTGAGGACCGAACCCAGGGCCTTATGCTTGCTAGGCAAGCACTCTACCACTGAGCTAAATCCCCAACCCCAAGTTCTACTTTTTAAAGGCATCTCACTTGGGATACAAAAGCCACTCTTAAGGATAGGCCCATGCACAGTAGTAGATGGCTAACACAGAAAGAACTCAATGGCAAGGTTGGGGATTTAGCTCAGTGGTAGAGCACTTGCCTAGCAAGCACAAGGCCCTGGGTTCCGTCCTCAGCTCCGGAAAATTAAAAAAAAAAAAAAAAAAAAGAACTCAATGGCATCTTTGGAGGTTCTTTGTCATAATGCTTAGGCGGGGCATTTATTTATGTATTTATATTAAAAATTATTGTTGTAATTTATTTATTTATTACCTGACAAGTCCTTTTTATTACGACTTCTGGGTTTATGTTTTTATGGGATTCTTGAATGTGTGAATGTGTGTGTCTCTGCATCTATATATGTTTTTCATGCTTTTTTCATTGGTTCTTTTTCTGTTTGTTTGTTTTGCTCTGCTCCAATTTGTTTTGCTTTATTTTGTTATTGCTTTCAGATGCCCATTTGTTTTCTAATGAGAGATAGAAAGGTTGTGGATTAGGATGGGGGAGGGGGTAGGATCTCGGTAGAGTTGGAGGAAGGAAAGCCTTAATCAGAATATATTGTAGGGGAAAAAATCTATTTTCAATAAAAGAAAAGTATAAAAACATAAAGGTTAGATTTATAACAACTGAAACTGCATTTGACAGGTTGTTTAAATTTTTTTAATTACATTTCTGTATTTTGTGCATGTGTGTCTCTGTGTCCGTGCATGTCTGTCATGGTGTGCATGTGGAGGCCAGAGGACAATTTATAGAAATCAGCTTTCTTCTCCCCCAGTGTGGACCCCCAGGGCTAAGCTCAGGTCATCAGGTGGAGCAGCAAGCGCCTTTACCTGCTAAGCCAATTTACTCACCCTGACACATCATTTTTGAAACTAGAACATATAAAAAATGATTGATATTTTTCTTTAGAAAAAAACATTTTGTTACCACTATTAAATTATAATTAGAAGTGCATTTTAATTATACATATTAGTGGGTTTCATTATGACATCTCCATACCTAGATATATCAAAATTTGATTTTATCTACCCTCCCCCACTACTCTTACCAAGTAGTCCCTTAATTACTTTTAGGTCATTTTTGTTTTAATTTCAGTTTCCACATATGAGAGGAAAGATGTGTCTTCCTGTATCTTGTTTAATTCAGTCTATATTATTTCAGATTGCTAACAGAAGTCTACTAAACTGATTTTTAGACCAGCTATAGGGGGCCACTATCATAGCATTCTCTATCTGTGGCCTGCAAAACAGTCTTCAGAGGTTGGAGTTGTAGCTCGTTGTACAGAGTGCTTGCTTAGCTGGTTTGAAGTATTGGATTTGATTCCCAGACCACACAAACCAGGGGCGGTAGTATGTGACTGTAATCCAGCACTTGGGAGATTAGAAATTCAAAGCCAGTCTGGAATAGTGAAGCCCAATCTCAAATGGTGAGGGAGAGAGGGGAGGAGGGAGGGAAAATAATCTTTGAAGGTCTATATCTACATTATGGTATATACATACAGGTTACAGATGATGGCAGTTTAAACTTTACAAAATTTTGCAAAATTCTTTTCACAGTAGTTGTATCAATTCACACTTCTCCCAGCAAGATCTGAGAGTCCATTTTCCTATACTGACATTTACGATCGGTATTACCAAATTTTCTCACTTTTGCCAGACTCCTTTAAGGGTTTGATAGAAGCAGACATGCATAAGTGTATTACTTATTTTGCGTTAGAGGTACACATGTAATGAGAAACATCCCCTCTGCAGGTCCTCATTTGGTAGAGTGCTCATTTGGCTAATGTGTCATTACCGAGTCTCTTATAAAATGCAATAATTAAGTGAATTCCCTCAGGATTTCCAGGAGCCTCTGGAACAAAGCCAGACTGCGCCGACAGGCTCCCCTGGTTTCCCTGAGGGCCACTTCAGTCCATTTACCACTTCCCTTAAGCCCTCTCCTCGCTGGCATTCAGAAGCCACTTATTCTCCTGTCACAGAGAACATGAGATGATCATATGAATATCGCTACGTTCAACCCTCATCTATAAACACACTCTTGTCTCCCACCCTCTCCTTTCATTAGGATTTGGGTGTGTTCCTTTGATACTTAATCCCTAAAGACAATTGATAAAGGCATTTGGAGCAGGGCCTTTGGGAGAAAGGGTGATACCTTCATGACAGTATTAATGGACCTGTATGAAGATGGAGAGGACAGATTCATTGCAATCCCCATCAAAATTCCAACACAACTTTTCACAGATCTTGAAAGAACAATATTCAACTTCATATGGAAAAACAAAAAACCCAGGATAGCTACAACAATCCTGTATAACAAGGGAACTTCCAGAAGTATCACCATCCCTGATTTTATGCTCTACTACAGAGCTATAGTAATAAAAACAGCTTGGTGTTGGCATGAAAACAGTCAAGTGGATCAATGCAATTGAATCAAAGACCCTGAAGTAAATACCTATGAACACCTGATTTTTGACAAAGAAGCCAAAATTATACAATGAAAAAAGAAAGCATCTTCAACAAAAGGTGCTGGCATAACTGGATGTTCATATGTAGAAGAATGCAAATAGATTCCTATCTATTGCCCTACACAAAACTCAAGTCCAAGTGGGTCAAAGACTTCAACATAAATCCAGATACAATGGACCCAATAGACAAGAAAGTGGGGAATAGCCTTGAATGCATTGGCACAGGAGACCTCTTCCTATATATAACACCACTAGCACAGCATAGATGCTGAGATCGACAATTAATAAATGGGACCTCTTGAAACTGAGAAACCTCTGTAAGGCAAAACACACGGTCAGTAAGACAAAATGGCAGCCTACAGAATGGGAAAAGATCTTCACCTACCCCACATCTGACAGAGGGCTAATCTCCAAAATACATAAAGAACTTAAGAAACTAGACATC